AAAACAAATCAACAACACATTGAAATTAGCCAGACAATACATCCAAATACTCCTAAATAGGGAGCTTACATCCAAATGCATTCACGCAGCTCACTTCAGGATTAACCTGCAGAAACCAAACATTTGCTCAAATAACACTTTCTACACATCTAAAACCAACAAACAAAATTATTGAATTTTAGGTACTTAAACCAAACATTTTCAAACCAACAAGTATATAACAGTTAACAACACTTGCACAAACTTACAAATAACAACTGGTTGTTTATGCACAAATACATCAATTTCACGCAGCTCACTTCAGGATTAACCTGCAGAAACCAAACATTTTCTCAAACAACACTTTCTACACATCTAAAACCAACAAACAACAAATATGAATTCTAGGTACTTAACCAAACATTTTCAAACCAACAAAGAGTATATATGTTAACAACACTTGCTCAAACTACCAATAACAAATGGTGTTTATGTACACTTTCAGTACGCGGATGCAAGTAGGCAACGTCTCGAATATATCGCTCTTGCCATAAAATGACGAAACTACAACCCTAATGCTCTATCTCATCTGTGGGAGGTAGAAATGTTTACTCATGTCGTCAAACGTTCCAAGCACATGCATACAAGAGGACCACAATCCCCTATGGCTCCAGCCGTTTGTTGCGGCGCTGTCTCATCTCATCATTGTAACTTTGAACTTTTTGGCTTCTTGTTTCTAGAATTAGTCCAATAATCAATCGCATCGAAGTATTTAGCCAAATGAATGCTCCATCCCTTACAAATAATATATTTCAAATCAGACAATGGTATGTAATTTCAACATGCTATCATACTATCGTCTTCAGGGATGGGAGCTGAAGCTCGACGAGAAGCCAATGATGACGTTCCATAACAGGATAAACACTGCAATCATAAATAATAATTCAATTGTGCACGTCAAATAAAAGTTATGAACACCTTTAAAATATTCAAAAATAAATACTAACCTTATCGACCTCCACAAGCAGGGAAAGCGTAGCTTTTCCATTACCCAACGTATATGAAGCATCTCTCCTTCAAGTGAGCTACGTGAAAAGACGAAGGCATAATAGTCCATCACGTCTTTTTTATTTTCTTCAATTTCCTTATAATCAGAAGATGTGACACCCATACATCAATGCTGTGGATAAAAAAATACATTATTAGTGAATTTAATAAATTTTTTAAAAAAATAATCAAAATTCAATATAAGAAAAACATAATACATACCTCATTCGAAATAGCCATTCTCTTCAACCCCTAATAAAACACCCCACCAAGACCGATAAGAAACAAATGCATACTATCGTCAATTTTGCATATGTCAGCGTAACACCCTTGGCTCGCTCATATAGATAAAAATCAACTGCGGCCTTAGCACAAAGGGTATTATCCATAATTGTGTCCGGTAGTGTTCTCATCTCCTGCTGTGGAATGGTGGCCGGGGTAACATACGAAAGCCAGCTCTCATCCATCATTCGGGCATGTGAGGGGGTTTATCAATATGTCAACATAGTATGCATGTGAATCGGGCTCTTGAACGGTGGGAGGGACCTCTTGAACGATGACAGGGGCCTCTTGAACGGTGGAGGGACCTCTTGAACGATGAGAGGGGCCTCTTGAACGATAGGAGGGGCCTCTTGAATGATGACATGTGAATCTGGCTTCTTTTTATGGAGTCTTGGAACTATTGGGGTGAAAGGAGACGTAATGACACATGCACGACGTCGGATGCGTGAACCCCGTCGTGCAAGAAAAACCCGACGTAAAGCATCTACCTTATCTAACGCTAAAAAATAAATTAATCATAAATCAGTAAATAAATAAATAAATAATTCTGAAAATGTTTTTGCATTTTAGTATAGTATTAACAAATTACCTCTTTGCGTAGAGTATGAACCTCATTCTGCAACGATGAAACAATCTCACGTAGAGCGGCTCATCACATAAAGTAGATACCTCACCACGTAAAGCACCATTGTCATCGAGTAAAATCTACTACCACGTAAAAAGACCGTACCTCATCACGCCATGCACCATTGTCGTCACGTAAAGTACCGACCTCATCACGCAAAGCACTGACCTCATCACGTGACTCCCCTAACTCATTCTGTGGAGGTTGAGAATAGAGAGATAAATGTCATGGCATCTTTTCCGATCGCCTATCATGAGGTGATGGTGGAGAAGAGGCTCGATGATGTAATGGAATAGGTGATGGCTCTCGTTGTGGAGGTGTATAATCGGCTCGATCATGTGATAGCTCTGGGTGTCGAGCTGTAGAATTGACTTGATCAGGTGATGGCTCTCGAAGTGGGGGTGCTCATCATCCGTCCCATCAAAAAAACGCTTACTAGCTCGCCACCAATCAGTGGCAAGCTCAGCCTCTGTAGGTGTCAACCTCTGTAATGGATAGTTGACCTCCTAATAATATAAAAGCTCAAACATGGTTAAACGTCTACTAGTAACAATATAAAAGCTCAAACAAGGTTAAACGACTACTAGTAATAACTTGTTTATATATGGTAGTATTTTTGCTAACTTACATCATTCATCATCGTATATGGTAGTAAGTCTTCCCAATCCAACAGTCGGATCCTCCTCCAGGTAATAGCCCTATGAATATCATTTGAATTTTTTCTTGCATATGTATGCATGCTGGGAAAAGCCTCAAATATCCAAATCTACAAACAATATAATACACAAACATTAGTAATTGTTAAATATTATTAATAATTTGGAAACATTATATAGAAATTCTTACCTTAAAGGCCCAAATAAAGGCTACCAAAGTGTATTTGGAACCATTGCCACGCAAACTACGACGGTTCTCAAATGCAGACGACAACTTTTTCCAAGTAGCTTTCCATAGATATGAACCCAACGGAAACACGTTCCATGCATTTAGGTTATCTACCAATAATATTAGGTCATCATAAACAGGTTGTCTGGCCTATTTGCCTAAAAAGACTACATTCAAAAGTAATAAAATGCATACTCGGACAACATCAGGGTCATCCATCCAAGTAAAACCATCTTTAAGAAGTAATCTTCTCAAGTCGTCAACGTATAAACTGGGCTTCGCCTTTGCCAGCTCAGGAAAAACCCGAGATAACCATGATGGGTGGGCGATATGATTAGTGTACCGACCTACTTCATCGTGTCTGAAACGTAGACCAGTGATTAAGCAAAACTCCTCCGCCCAAAACAAGTATACGACGGTGTAGAAATGAAACCATATCTCTTCATCACCACGTTGTATCCTCTCGGGTATATCGTTAGTCATTGTCTGAAGAAACAAATGGGTCAACATAGCATCTCCACCTGGATGTTGTACTTTCAACCATAGCCCGAAGCAAGTATCCTCAAATAATTTTATTTGTACAAGTGTAAGTGTCGATGCTATTGTAGTGGGGTTAGGCTTAATTTAATCCTTAGAGTCAATGAAGCCGAAAAAAATTTCTAACAAAACAAACATACCAAGTTAGATATACCAAAAACTACAAATTATACACTATAAACAGATGATATTAAACAGTGAAAACAAAGCCAAATATGTTTCAAACTAGCACGGTATTCACCAAGTCATTATTTATCATAGTTTTTGGTTGAAGTAATGCAATTCATTCAAGTTTCAATTTGCAGAAGAAGAGTAGTTTCTGAAACTTAAAATCGCAACGCGAAAATGAAAATCGCAACGCGAAATTAAAATCGCGTTGCGATTTTCGTGTTGCGAATTTCATTTTCGTGTTGCAAATTTCATTTTCATGTTGCGAATTTAAGTTTCAAAAACTATTCTTCTGCAAATTGAAATTTGAATGAATTGCATTACTTCAACCAAAAGACAAAACAAAGACAAATACTAACTTCACAGGGTAAAGACTAAACAGTTTAGCAGTATTGGTAGCAATTGAATGAATTTACTAAGCAATCTAAGTGAAATGGTTAATATATATTGAAATTACCAGTAGATTTATCATCAATTTAAATATGAAAAATCTAATAATAATACAAAAATTTTAAAATAAAAATAATTAAAAAAACTAACCCTCGGTGGTTGATTTTCTATTTGTGGTCGTGAATGGTTGTGAGGCTGGCTCTGAGAGATGGAGATAGACGGATTTCGCCGGAGATGAAACGAATTTCGCCGGAGACGAAACGAATTTCGCCGTAGAGAGTGAGAGATGGAGATGAGACTAAGTTATGATTTTGGGTTTTAGGTTATGAGTTGCGATTATACTGTTTACATTTGTGTTACGAAATTAATATTGTGTTTCGAATTCGAAAATAAAATTCGCGTTGCGAAAATAAACGCGCTTTGCGAATTTGACTTCTGTGTTGCGAATTTGGAAACTATGTTGCGGAATTGGAGTTCGCGTTGTGAATTTATTGGTCATTTTCGTAAATTCAAAAAAATTGATTAAAATCGTATATTATAAGACATTTTCGATCCTTGAATTTATTTTCTCTTTAAAGAAACATTGTATCTTGAATAGATATTATTAAATAAATATTTATTTATACTGACTTAAAATAACTAAGATCAATATCCTTTTATTTAATTAAAAAAAGATAAGGAGAGAAATACAATGTTGGTGCGACGACCATCCGCGGAAACAAGGAGCCGCTCTCGCCTAAGACTTCGGAATTTAACCTTCGTCACGCCATTTCTATTTCTCAATCCCAGCAAACAGTTCACCGCATTTACATGTAAACTCACCTCAGATATTTATAAATTTATTTATTATATTTATAAGTAATAAATGTTTGTTTTATTGTTAATATTTAATATTTATAATTTTACTTGAGTATAGTTTGTTATCGGCTTTATTTTTGAAAATAAAAATAATTTATTTTATTCAAATAATAATACATAATAAATAAAATTAGTTTTTAAAAACTAAGATTAGACATTAAATATTAAAAAATGAATATAATATATAATCAGAACACACCCACTGGCAAAGTAACCCAACCTCCTAACCCTTGAGTTTGATTTCAACCCCTATTCGTCCCTTTAAAGCCCTCCAAAATCTCTTCCTTCCCACCCTTAATTTCTCTTCCTCTTCCTCTTCCTCTTCCCGTACATTCGATAGTTCCATTTCCCCCATTTTTACTCTCTCACCTGTTTCTCGTAAGGCAACGGTCAGCCGGTAAGCCTTGTGAAGTTTAGGAAATATTGGGTTTTCATCTTTTATGCGAAGGGGAGGGAACAGCGGTTAGTTGGTGTTTTGTTGTTGAGCCATGAGTTGCAACGGTTGCCGAGTCTTACGAAAAGGATGCAGCGAATCATGTATTTTGCGTCCATGTTTGCAATGGATCGACACCCCCGAAGCTCAAGGCCATGCGACAGTCTTCGTCGCCAAGTTCTTTGGCCGTGCCGGACTCATGTCGTTTATATCCGCCGTTCCAGAACTTCAACGTCCTGGTATCCGCGCTCAGCTTCTCTTTTCTTAATATTTTGTTTCTGGGTTTTCATTTGATTTCGAGTTCTCATCGGTTTATTTTATATACTTATATATATCAGCTTTATTCCAATCGCTGTTGTTCGAAGCTTGTGGGAGAACGGTGAATCCTGTGAACGGAGCCGTCGGGCTTTTATGGACGGGAAACTGGCATGTTTGTCAAGCTGCGGTTGAAACCGTCTTACGAGGAGGAACTATAAGGGCGATGCCTGAACTTGTGGCTTCCACACCACGATCCGATGAAACATCGGAAGCTACGATTACGTACATGTCGAAGTTGCAAGAAACGGTAACGAATTTTAACTCAAACTGTCGATTTTCCTGCTCGAGATCTAAGGTTTCACCTAAGCGTATAAGAGTGGAAGAATTCGGTAAATTTCAGCCATCCGATCTAGATCTTTGCCTGACTCCAAGCTCCGGGGGAAGCCGCCTCTCGGATAAAAGACGACCCGGTACTCCGTCGTTGAACTCGGAGGAATCAGTTACGACGACATGTTTTCCAAGTGGGTTTGCAGATCAAACAGAAGAAGCAGATAAAAAGTTATTGAACTTGTTTGTCTGAAGAGATAATGAAAAAAGAAAACAAAAGTTCTATTTTCTTGGTGAATCTAACATTGAAATGATCTGGTCTTGTTGTAATATTCTCCTGTCCCTCCGCATCTTTTTCGAGGGGTTTAGATAATGTTTTTTGTAATCTGGGGGAGGGCTTTCCCCGGGAATGAAATTTTCCGGCGAGGTTTTTTTTTTGGGTAAACGACCGGCACTGGATTTCTCTCTTTTGTTTTTACTTTACAGTGTTAAACGGGAGAGAAAAATGAGAGTTGATCGGTGATTCCTAAGATCATCTCTATTTTTTGTTTCTACTTTGTAATCTTTTGTTCACCGTGTCTTGTGCTGAATGTAAGAACCGAATAAATCAAATTTTATTTACAAAATTTCCCTACATTATAGTTTTGATTAAAGTAATCAAATACCTATAAATATCATAGTTACTGCTGTCCAACCTGAATTATATTTTAAACCTGTCTGTTAAACCAATGACAGAAGTTTATGAAGTGTAGGCAAATCAGCGTGGAGAATATATAGTCTGGACTATATCTTTTAAGATTAAATGAACAATAAACTAATTTTTCACTTCTGAAATTAAAAGTCGATTTAAAAATAAAATTGTTAATGAAATCTTCAAATTCATAGGTTGGACTATAATATTACATAAATTATAATTTATCTTTAAATATTATTTTAATTGAAATATATTAATATTATTTGATTATATTTTGTTCCTGTAAAATGAAATAGGAAAATGGCATCCTAACCCATCAATGAATAAAATAACTGTACAGTTTGACTGCAAATACGTGGCGATGAGTGTATGCGGCCCTTTTCATTTGGGAAATGAAAAAGACAGCCAAAATGTTTGGACGCAGGAAAGGGTAGAGCGTGAGGTCTGAACGTTTGAATGTCATCCGTTTATCCCCCTCAAGAGCCAAAGTTGTAGCATCGTGTCCCCCACTTTCCAATACCAGCGAGTAGAGGAATAAAAGAAAGAAACATGCAGATGGCGTCATTCATCTACTTTTATCCTCATACTTATCCATCCACAACATCTAGAGTTCACATAGAAAAAGAAGAAGAAAAACGAAAGAATTTTCCAGGCAATGAGGGCCTTTCCGGCGCTAGACAGACATATAGGTGATCGCAGCAGGCGGCATTTGGTGTGCGCAAAGAGGCGTAACAATGTACTAATTGGCAGGGGGTGAAGGATACCTTGGATTCGCCAAGAGTTCATTACATCACACAACCGCACAAATGCTTCTTTTTTTCTCTATAAAAATATATAATCGATATCAATTATTTTATTTTTGAAAGGGTTATATCATTTAAATTTATTAAAAATATTTAATTTATCGTATTATATATTTATTCTAGACCTATTCTGTTCTTTTATTTATAATTTTATTATTTATATTCTAAACTTTATTTAAAATATTTATTATTTTATTCTATTAAATCAAAATATCTGTGTTTGTTTGTGGAGTAGTAGCGCTGGTAGGTTTGGTTCATATTGATGATCCAACGAAGAAAAGTCATTTACATTTGTTTTTATTTATTTTTAAATGATACATATTAATTTTATAATCAATTTAAAATCTTTACATAATTTTAAATTATTATAAAAATAATTTTTATTTTTCATAAAATTTAATAAGTAAACATTATTTAATTTAATATTTTTTATTTTGAAATTAATTATTTATACAATTAAATGAATTATTTAAAAACATATTAACATCATAAAAATGTATTGGCGGCAGTGGCCGACAAGGGATGATAATTTAGAGTTAGGGATTTGGAGTTGATTTTAGGGATTTTATAGTTTTTTTTTGTAATTTTAGAAAAAATAGGATTTTTTAATATAAATATTTTAAGTTTTTTAAAATAAAATTTTTAAAATTAACTAAATGCGACACATATAACTTAACATAATTTTTTAACGTTCATTATGGTCGAGACACCTAAAGTGATAACGTTTGTAACATTAGGTACTTGGATTGACCGGAAAAAAATTAGATATCACTTTAAGAAAACTTATATAATTTGGACACTTTCTTGTATATTAGACCAATCTTAAAAAATAAGTTTAAGAAGTCAATTACTTGATATGTATCCAATGAATTTTGAGAGATATTGGGTCGGTGAGTCTTCAAGGAGTCATCAAAAGTTGATATTGAAGAACAAATGTATTTTATTATATTTTTGCGTTGATGCAATTGAATCATATAGAGTTTGATCCAGGTGTTGTGGAGACTTATCCTTGGACGGCTGAGTCCACCTTAAAAGTCTTCTGGACTTAATATTGAAAACATGTTTTAGCCTTTCTCCATTTTTTTTCAATCGGTTGGCAAATATCAAAAATTAGCTTTCAAAGAATACTTGAAAACTGATAAGGTGTTTCTTTAGTTCTTTGGAGATTTGTGCTTTGATCCTTTGAAATCTTCTATTCAATTGTTATTTCTGCATATCTCCAGTCTACTCACTTGTGAATCGCTTGGGGCTAATCCATTTTTATAGTGCTAATGTGATGGGTTAAATTACAACTTCGTCATTCGAGTGGTTTATAATGATTAATATCTTCTATTTATTGTTTCTCATATTAATTTAATTAATTAGCGATAAGACACATATTTGTTACTTAATTAAATTGATTATAATATAATATGTATTATTTATCGTATAATTAATTTAAATTTATTTAGAAGTATGATGTACCATATTTTGATTGGTCTGATTTTTTTATCTACACTCGTCTCTGTGAGTTCTCACTATGCCTACCTAAGATGACTTTGACACCTGCATGTTCAAGTGATCACTAGATCTCCCTTAGTATGACGTATCTTGCACAGTGACAGATCTTAACGTGATAGTTTGGGGAGTTTAATCAATTTTTAATTTTTTTTGAAGGTCAAATCAAAATTTTAAAACTTTTTGAGATATTCAATGAGACTTATTTAAAAAGTTTTAGCTTTTAATTAAAATTTTCAAAAATTTGAAAAATATTAGTGATTTTTAAACAATTTTGAAGAGACTTAACAAAGGGTGTCAAGGCTCCCCTGGCTCTCATCCGCATCGACTTTGTAGCAGACAACTTATTTTCACTTCTATTGTTTTGCTTTGTAATTATTTATTTGCTGTTTAAGAAACCTTTTAATGAATTCATCTTTAGTTAATCCTTAATAAATAGAGGGAAAACGGTCTTAATAGATAAGATTGATCCTTATTCATATGATTTTTAGTTAAATTTGTTGGATTGCAACAAGTAACTAAAATAACTGACGAAACTAAGGGTTGTTTGATAAAATAAAATGATTAAGCGTTGAATGATTCAATAGCCTGAACGATTCAAAGGCTCTGTATGAATTGACTCTGAATGTGACATGTTGTTTGATAATGGTTCTGAATGTACAATATGAATTATGAATATTTTCATTTTTACCTTCATAGTGATTTATTATATTATAAGATATGATTGTTTAATAAAACAACATGTGAAAAAATAGGTATTATGGTAAAATACCGGGTGCTTAATGATTCAGAATGTACTTTAATGCTGAATCATTCAGCAGTGTTTTGCTGTTTCATTTAGCATAGTCTTCATTCAGAAGTGAGAATCAAACACGCTGAATGCTGAACCGTTCGACAGTAAACCAACAGCCCCTTAATGGAATAAATTACTTTGCTAATTATATAAGAGTAGATCCAAACCATAAGATATTATTTTGTTGAATATCTAATTATCAAAACTTTCAAAATTGTCACTTAACTATTAATATGTTATAAGTTCATCATTTTTCGTTAAAAAGTTGACGGTCGACTAAGCCGGATTTTAACATGTTGACTAAGATATGATAAAATATGATCTCAAAATCATTTGAATTGTATTTTTTGGATCGACTATCTATTTTTTATATTATATCATCGAGCTTAGTACCAATGAACATAATTGAAATATGATTTTATTATATATTAATCACTAAGTTAACGTCCAACTTAGTTGATTGTCAATTTTTTAAATGAAAAAAGATGAGTTTGAAATATATGAATAATCAGATAGTCATTTTATAACTTTTAATAGTATTAAATTAAACAAAATAACATCCTATAATCATAAAATTATTATGTGACTTTTAATAATTGAAGTAATCAAAAAATAATGTTCTATAATTAAAAAAATAATTTGTGTAATGATAGGTTGATTATTTACTCTTTTTCATTAAGGATCGATTAATGTTGATTTTCGATATATATATATTTGGACAAAAAAAATAACTAAATGCAAACGCCTACATGATCGGGCAAGCCCAACGCTCAACGAAAAACAAAGCTATACCAGCACTAGTTCACACTTTAAACTCGTTTTAAATACCGCACGTGCTACATTGACCTGACGACTCCAAAAGAAGCTTCCAAAAAAAGACTCAACTCTTCGCTTGCTTGCTTGCTTCATGCCCTAATATCTTTTCTTTCTACTTTCTCATTCAGTGATTAATTCAGTTTCATAGTTCGTTATTTGAGGTGAGTTTTGCCTTCTTTCTGTTTTACTGTCTGGGTTTTTTTTGGTCATGAGGTTTTATGGGTAAAGCGGGATATTTTAGTGAATTGAATTAGTTCTTGTTTTCTTTAACATGTTTTCTTTTAGCGTATGCTTTGATTTGAGATTGGTAATCTTTAATTTTGTAGATTTGTAGGTCTGGGTTTCTGTTTGGTTTTGATTTGATTGATGATGGTTAAATGAAGTTACTTTCTTCTATTTGGGTTTTGTTAATTTCGCTTGAATTAGATTATTTCAGTAAAAACTGTTTTTGATCCCAATTTGTCTTGATATGTTAATAGAAGACATGACACTACGTTTTTTTTATGATTATTTCTTTATTTAGAATTAAGTTGATGTTTCATGGATATTGATGGTTTTCCATTTTTGACTGGAATTTTAGATTTCGGATGATCGTGATGAACTCAGAATCTGAAGTGCCGGCCGGTCGGAAATTTTGTAGAGTAGACACTTTAGAGCTGAAATCCCAGTTTGTAAGGAAGATTGGACGTATAAAAGCGGATATGTACTTCCATCTGCTTAATAGATTTTTGAATCTTAAGATTTGCAAACCCGAGTTCGATAAGCTGTGCATCAGTACAATAGGGAGAGAAAATGCTCGTCTTCATAATAATTTCCTCAGATCAATTATTAGGAATGCTTCGCTTTCAAAGACTCCTCCGCAAATAGCAAACAAATCGGAAGGTTCTTTGAGTGTTAAAGTGTCAAATGGGTATCAAAGAAGTAATCTTCAGTCACTGTGCAAAGACTTTCCTCAATCTCCTCGTAAGAGTAGGACTCCGAATCTTCGAGATCGCAAGTTGAGGGACCGCCCAAGTCCTTTAGGGCCTCATGGGAAGAGCCATAATACAGCCTGTGAAGATGCAGTTCCTAAGGTTCAAGAACAGCAGAGTGCTACCGAGTTGCTTTCTTTGGGTAGCAGACCGCCTGCCTCTGTTGAGGATGGAGAAGAAGTTGATCAAGCTACAGGAAGTCCGAGCATTTACAGTAGGAGCCCTGTGAGAGCTCCACTTGGCATCACTTTGAATGCTAAAGGAATGCGAAAAGCACTATGGAATAGATCGGCATCTGCTTCCGAGACTTGTTATTGCCGTGGTGAACTACCTGATACTGGTTCTTTGAGGAAGAGGTTGGAAAAGAAGTTAGAGACGGAGGGATTGAATATCTCAGTAGATTGTGTTGATTTGTTGAACAATAGCATCGATGTTTACATGAAGACATTGATAAAACCTTGTTTGGAACTGGCTGGTACAAGGTCCAGACAAAAAGTTATTAACCGAGGCCAGAATCAGTCCATGGCCTATTTGAAAGGGATGCAGCCTGCGAGATATGCACCCAATCTAAGTGGTCCCGTTTCTGCATCAATGTTAGACTTTCAAGTTGCGATTGAGATGAATCCATTGATTCTTGGAGTAGACTGGCCAACACAGCTCGAGAAGGTGTGTTTGCAGAAGAGCGAGAACCAAAACTAATTGGCTTCATGATTCGAGTTCAGCCAGATTCCAGGCATAGCAATTTTGAGTTCGTTCAATTTTGACGTTCACACTAACATCGATATCAAGCATACCATTTTATAGAATAGATGAAGTAAATAAGTAAAAAGGTTACTAGAGTTTTGGATAAAGCTGATTGTATTGTAAGTATATCATGGCTCTGATTTACCCCGGAGGTGTGATGTCTCAACTATCTGAAATCCAACTATATTGACACTTGGGCTAGCAACTATCTCTACCTATATAGCTTCGTTTTAGCGAACACTTGTTTTCATAATAATAATGCATATCTTCGATTTTTCTGGCCTGGTCTGCTGTTGTTGAAAATTTCCTGTGAAGCTACTTGTTCTTTTCTGCAAATATCATTTTTCTTATGACATCCTTTCATCAAGGTTGATTAGGTGACGATATCTTATGGATGCCGAATACTCGGCTGGTTCTTATGTATACCGATACTCCACCATCTCCCGATAGTTTCTTGCAGAATATGTGAGTTGCAGGTTAATCCATTGAATTGGATCAGATATGAGAAATATGGAACCAATTATTGCAGTGAGCTGGAAGATCATAGTGCAGTTGATGTTTGATTGATTTGATGAATTTTGTTACTTTTCCCTTTTTCTTTTCTCTTGTAATGTTAGGTATGTACTTATTTGGATCATAAATGCTACTTTTAAGACAAGTCTTGAACATCACTCTCTCTGCTTTGTGGCAATGTAGACCATTCTCAATGTGTTTGAACTATTTTGCGTTGATATTGTGTTTTTATTGCAGACATTAACACCTATGCTGCTTGATGTCCGGCGTCGGTATATTTAACGTATTCGGAGGATGATAACTTTGAAGTTATATGAATATATGTCAGACAAATACTTTCAAGAAAAACGAAAGTCGGAACAATATATCTCGAACATGGTAGAAAAATGGATTGCAGACCCCAGCAAAGAATTTGTCTGGTTGGACCATATGTACCCTTATGTATCTGACCCTTCAGTTTATTCTCAACCATAAAAATCCATTTTCTGGTGCATTATTCCAGATAACCGTCTCATTTGGGACCATCTTATCCTTTGGCAAAATAAAATATAATTAACGATTCAGTTGAGAAAACACTGCAATCGTAAAATATATTAGAAATTATAATCATGATCAATTTTCACACATATATTAACTGAATAATTTATGAATTATTAAATTAATAAACCAAAGTATATTTAGACAACATTAGTTATTGTCTTACCGGAAACTAAAGAAAACATGTCTCAAACCATGACAAATTTTTGTAGCAAAGACTTCAGCTTCAAGAACCAAGTCATTTTCTCAGTTAAAGGCAGCACAATTTCTACGAATGTGGCCGTTCGTCCCGGTCTTGACACCGACCCGACCCAGCTTAGTCATAGCAGTAATAAAAGCTTGGTTAAAAGCCAGTGAGTTGGTGGCCCAGGCGTTCACGGTCGGTCTAGACCTGAGGTCCGAGAATAAAACCTGGTCCGAGGTGAAAAGGCCTTGCCCTTTCTGCAGGTTCTTGAAGTAGACGTTGTCAAATATCCTGGGTGTATCGGGGTCCATGTTGATGGCAATCGATGGATCCACATTTTTGGGACACATCTGTTGAAGTTGAGCAGCATAGGTCCGGTTCATCGTCGGGTCCACTGCATTTTGACGGTCGGAACTGTATATTCTGTTTGCAAACTTGCTGCAATGAGAGAATCCAACTGTGTGTGCCGCTGCAAAAAACCAACAACAACAACAAAATGTTTATTTTACTATTTTATTTCTCGGATTATGGCCACACAAAAGACTATTTAAGAAGAATAGGTTATGTTTGAAATTCAGACATTCAAGTCTGTGGTAAAACCTGAAAGAGCAATCATGTCTGGTTGGCTGAGTCCATTTGCTGCAAACAACGAGTTAAGCTGATTCAAGTTGAAAGATGGCTGAGGAAGCTTTCCATTAACACTAGAAGCTGTTGAATTTAGCCCATCAAGTCTTCCCAATTCAACAGCATAAGAAGGTCCACCAGACTGAAATTATACAAAACACATCATATTCACTTGCATAATCTGCAAACAATGTCAACAATCACCGTGATAGGAACAATACCAGAGCAACAACATCACGAGTAGCCATTGTCAAGATATCAGCACAAGAGACCTTGTTTCTGCAACTCGGAACCGCATCGACCGCCCCTTTAGCTTTGATCACGGTGTCGAATCCATCTCCGGCTAATGACAAGTTTTCAGGGTGATCCTTTTCGGCTTTGTTGCCCCCGGAGGATGAAATCATAACCGAAGCATCACATCCCTGTGAGAAACAATACAATGCAACTTATGATAATAGATTGAAGAGAAAAGGGTATTCTTTGAAACGTTGAAAAAAAAAACCTGGACGAAGCAATCATGGAAGAAGAGACGGAGAGTTGCAGGAACGGTGACGAAAGTTTCCTTGAATTTCTTGGCCACTGCTGTTCTAACAATGGATTCTACATTGGGGCAAGAACTGGCGTAGTAATTTTGTCTTAGTTGAGCAGATATTGTGTCAGGAAACAAACAGAAACTAAGAGAAAAGGACAGGAGAACTGCAAGGTTGATGAACCGACCCATTTTGATAACAAAACTGAGAAACAATGAGCATAAAATGATAAAAGCTAGTAAAGAGAACATGCAAAGTGTTGTATATATATATATAGGGAGAGAGAGACAAGTTTTGAAAATGTTAATGATTGATGAAAAGATAAAAATGAAAAAAATGGGAAGAAGCTTGAAAGAGCCAGTTGGGCGAGGAATCTTGTTTTACCAGCAAAGAAAGAGTGGGTATAACTCTTTTAAAATAACAGAGAAAATGGTGGGGGAGCTTCAAAGAAATATGGATGCTTTTATTTGGCTTTGTAAATGGCCGCCTTCCTCAACTCAAACTGCTCCCCTCGTTGCCCAACAACTTGGATTTTCACAATCAACTCTGAATCCCCATGAAAACGTGACCCAATATCCAATACTTAGAATAACGAATGTTTGTGAGAAGAAATTAGTTAATTGAAAGTGTTTAAATCTATAATACCATTTATTTTAATTTGCCCCTAAATTATACCCTATTCAAATTTTCATTTTTAATCTTAAAATGATGTAATACATGGAATGAAACATCGAAATAACTTATAGTTTGCACGAATCAAACAATCTTGGTAGTAAAAGAATTATTGTTATTTCTTGAGGTTTCGGGTACGAACACTAAGAATGTCAAGAGTATGAATAATTAATGCCAAATGGTTAAGAGTACATTTGAATAAATTCTATCTTATACTTATCTAAATTAATAAAATAAAAAAACTTATAGTTTGAAAATTAAATTTTAAAACAGTTTTAAATATTTTATATTTTTCTCTCTGTTTTTTTCCTTCCAAATTTTAATTAATGAAGGGATTTTAAAATACTTTATACTAAATCTCAACGATCAAAAGACATTTAATAAGATGATAAGTTATAATGAAATTTTCGATAAAAATTAATCTTGATTTTGTGATTTAAAAAAAAAATTCTCAAAAATCTAATAACAAGTTATAAGTAAAAAATTAATGACGATAAATTTAATATAAAAATCAGGTCAAGAAGTTAGAATAAAATGACTGGAGCAACCTCGATCTCGTTGCAATGTAAGTCTTTGATATATATAAATATATATTTGTTTTCTTATTTAACTCTTAAATTATAGTTTAGTTTGATTTAACCCTCTATGTGTCAGTAATAAATTAGTTAAGAGAGCCCTGTCCTTTATTTTAAAACGGTATCATAATAGAATTTTTAAGGTAATTCTTATTAAAAAAAATCAAAACTAAAATTCAGAAGTAATTCAAAAAAATCAAATTGCTTTTAAGCCTTAATCTTATGTCATAGAAATAAAACTCTACGTAAATAAACAATTGCTTGACATTGTAGATATCGTTGCAATAATATAAGAACTAGTGAGGTATTAAATTCATGGTTGGATAAATTAGAACTAAATTTTCTAAATATTATATTATACATTGAAGGGGTGCACCAAAAATGGGCCATGTCAAGAGTGTTTGCCAAGTTTGTAATTTTCAATGCATACCTAAGCAATACCCAAGAAAATGAATTAAAAGAAGGAAAATAAAAAGGCAAAGCTAAGCCATAAATGCTGAAAAACAAATTAACCAATTTCTTCTCTTGTCTAATTTCAAATAATCCAGGCCCAGAGATTTTATATAGATATTGGTTGATAATTAAAGAAACAATATCATTGGCCACTACTCTTCGTAAGGTGGCACGTTCTTTTCCGATGAGAACGTTAAATTTAATTTTTGCTTCACATTTATTTCAATTTTGATGGAGATCAGAAGAGATCTTAACAATTTTTCTTTTGAATTAGAAGCTAACTTCAAGTCAATGATTTAAGTACTAATAGTTTTATATTACGGAAGTCTTGATATATCCATTGAAAACCGATTGGATGTTCGGTGATACAAAATCAAGCAATGAAATTCGATAGTGATCAAAAGCAGACATCTTTGTCAATCTGTCAGTCATCATAAAAAAAACCCGTAAATCAAGCTTGATTTCAAATAGCATAGACAACTTTTTACTAGTGAGAGAGAGTTGAAATCTACGTCTGGGGTAAGGACTAACTTCATGGCTTCCGTTTAGTCCAATTGGACTTGAAATCGTTCAACTTGAAGATCAATGTAGAGATTTCACAACTTGACTTGAAGATAAAAATATATTCATTATTTTCATATTGGATGGATATAATTATTTATGCATATAATATTTAGTAAAATGATTGCATATCGATAAAAAAAAAGTAGTGATGTGAGAAAATTGAATAAAATAAAAACTTCACAAAATCAAAACTTCATGCATGATTTGTACATTCGACTAAAGTTTACATGTAATTTTTATAGTTTATTTTTGTTTTCAAATATTTTATAAAATAGCATTTTATATTAACATATATATTCACTTGACGAAACTATATAGAGTTTGGGAGTGGTACTGCATGACTCTTTTGTTTGATGACTTTTTAATCCTTATCAATATAAATATGTGCAAATTAAGTCGTAATTATCTAATTTTTTTATTTGAATACTAAGTGTTTATTATTCTAGATACGAAAAAGTATTACAGATGTTCAGAATTCAATTTATAGAGTTGCTAGATGTAGTCTTAATAGAATACATAATTCAATTGAGTTAAACTCGAGATTGAGAGTCTACTGCTCCGACTATGCTATGTCTTGATCAGAGTTTCAGAGGAGTGGCAAGAACCTCCATAAAGATGATAATATTTACAGCAATACCATACAGAAGAAGCAGATATGGAAGGGGGAGGGGGTCCAAAAATCTTAGTACACATACAAGAAGAAGAAAGAGAGCTACAAGTTGTCTCAAGCCTTATAAGTAACACAGACATTAACAACTTCAGAAAATGGTAATGGTAAATTTAGGCAAAAAGCAACACGTAGTGTCAAGATATGGAGTGTCTCCTATCTTTGGCAGGTCTTGTTCGACCTTTGCCACCAGCACCTGAAACTCCGACGAAAGGATAAAGCCGTCCGAGTTTCTTGGAAACGAAATTTATGAATGATTTTCGAGGCAAAGGAGGCTTATCAGATGATGGCGTAATGTTTCCCATAGGTGATAGGACTGCTTACTCCCGATTTTGCTGACGTTGATTTTTCTCTCTTTTAATCTCATTTTCATTTTCATTAGCTCTAGTTTCAGGTCATCGTTCTCTCTTTTCAAGCTGGAAAGTTCATCTGAAACCGGGTGGATATCACTAGGGTATAAATTCACCCTGGAAGAGATGACAGCAGGGGAATCTCCACTGGATACGCTTCCGTTCATAACATCTTGAAGGCATTGCTGCTCGTAGTAAAGGACTTGAACCAGCGTCTGGACCGAAAGATGGTCGTTTTGAGTGGCGTGAGCGCAAGCCTCCCGTGAGAGTTTCTGGCAATCCATTAAGCTGCAAACTTCCTTCTTCTCCAAGTCACTTATAGTGGGACGAGCCTATGATTGAAATCAAAAGGCCGGACTAAAATGACAACATTTACAAAGGTATACCTTGCTATCAAAAAGAGATGTACCTTGAGGTAGATATCTATGGCTCTGTACACCCCATCGTCTGTTACCCTCGATTGTTCTGGAATAAGTTCGACGAGACTGAGGAATTTTGAGACAGATAGATTACAGTCGGACGCTATTTCTGCTAGGTAGCTCTCCATTAGCTTTCCTACTCTTTCCAAGTCACTTGGTGGGGGAGAATGTACTCTTCTTCTTCTTCTTCTTTTTGTAGCCAAAATGGCTGCCCTCGATATCATATTCGATGTAGTTCGTCAAGATATGTTGAATGTGTCGACATCAAACAATGTGTCCCCGGTAAAAGAATAGGCAAGTATCGAGAGATCATCTAAAACAGCATGTCCTAATTGCAAGGCCATTTTTTTCCAAATCATGTCGATAAGCAACGGTTGTTTTAAGGTATATCGCTGCACGAAGCAACACAGATAGAAAGCTCACGGACATTGCATTTTTCTCCCTAGGCAGAAGACTTATTATGTGTTGGGAAATAAACGAGAACAAGTAATTTCCTATAACCAGATTAGTGAGAATGCGAAATAAAACGGAAAAATAATACCCTAAATTGATAACGGAGTTCAGCCAATTTGCTTACGTCTCCGGACTGCTGCAGATTTTTTACTAAGAGAGAAAATTTACAGGTGTTTACAAAACACTCACTACTCACAAGAAAACTCTCTAGTTTTGGGAGAAATAAATTATTTGGGGTCATTTTGAAGCTAAATGAGCTAGGGTATTTATAGTTGAAGCTTAAGGACTAATCTTGTAAATACCCTAAAGTGTAGTGACTATTTATAATTATCCCATTATCATTTTTCAACAAACATCTACCAAACTTTGAAAAACCACTTTCAAAGAAACATTTACCAAACTTTGAAAACAATTTTTCCAAAGTTGGTTGCCAAACCTTTAACTTTTAACAATACTTTAACAATCTTCCACTTGAAGACTGATTTTATCTGTCTTCACACCTCGATCGATGCAACAACATTTCTAGTCTTGTTATTCTAGCATGCCAAATGAAGCTGAACACAACTTCAGTTTCTTCGTGGTCATCGTCTTTGTCAACATGTCTGCCGGATTTTGAGCTCTACTAATCTTTTTAAGTTTCAAAATCCCATCTTCCAGAAGAGACTAGATAAAATGATATCACAATTGTATGTGCTTTGTCCTGGAATGAAAAGACGGATTCTTTGTTAGATGGATAACACTTTGACTGTCGTAATTCAAGACATTGTTTTCTTGTTTCTTGCCTAACTCTTCCAAGAAACTTTGGAGCCAAACCATCTCATTGTTGACTTCGTAACAACGACATATTCTACTTTAGTTGTGGAAAGAGCAATTATCTTCTGTAGTTGAGAAACCCAACTCACTACAGTACCTCCTAGAGTATAGACATACCCTGTAGTGCTCATTCTGATGTCAACATTTACGGCTAAGTCAGCATCTACATAGCCTGTCAGTATCGTATCTCCACCTTTGAAACAAAGTGCTTTGTTTGTAGTACCCCGCAGATATCTGAGGATCCATTTGAC